TGTACTCACCAGAGAGAGAGAGGAGAGAGAGAGAGAGAGAAAGAGAGAGAGTCTCCTTGTCCACGGGGGCTGAAAAGTCTCACTCCTGACGATCTGCCAATTTCTGCAAGGGAGGTCTTGCTGAAGCTATACTACCAAGTCTACACATCTGTGAGATTGTTAGAGTTGTTTTGAATTTTCATACGCATCAGTGTGAGTTTTTTAACGCCACCGCGAACACAATTTGCATGTGGCACTGGGGCCGTGAGGAGGAACAAATAGTCGGTGAAGAATAAGTGGTGCGTATGAAACGTAGCACAGCACGATTTTCCTCCATGTGCCTGAGATCCAACGAGAAAAAGCTCATTTTTAATTTAGCCACTTCATGTGACGTTAGAATCAGATTCCTATATGCAGGAAAAGATTGGAAGTTATCCGTCAAAGACAATTCAAGTCGCTTCATTCTCGCGTTTAATATATATTTTTATTAAATAACAATAATTGCGCTCACCTCCAGTGTGATTCATTCGACACATAAACGAACTTTAAGAAGGGAAGGCGTTTCTCATTCAACAACCATATGTAAAAATATTTGAATATTATAATACCTAACTAATAATTATAAATTATACAAAGTACATAAAATTTAAACTGAAACACGACTTCTCTAATATATAAACACTATTTTCTCATTCAAGGATCGTGAGCTTTTCATTACATATTGCAAAAAATATCTTTTATATTACACCACTATAGATAATAAATGTATCTTCTGAGCTCGAAAGTACCTAAAAAACTTAAAAAAAAATGCGAGCCTACAAAATTATAAAAGTAGCTTGTTATTCTCACTCATTTTTAAATATTAAATTACTCTCATATTAAATATTTTTAATACTGAAATATTAAATATTGAAACAAGCGATGTAAGTTACTTCAAAATAAGTTTTTGATTCTACTCTAGCCTATTTATTGTTGCATAGCAACGCATATTTTACCATTGTTTCTAACTTTCTACTTTTTTTCTGCTTTAAGCAATAACTCGAAAAGATAGCACAAAACTCATAAACAGTGATTCTTGAATGTTTCTTATTTTAATTTTATCAAAGCTGTATACAGTGAGAGAAATCATCAGAAATGTTAGTACTACGTCAAACCTCAAAAGTATTCTATAACACGAAAAACTCACTATCCAAGTGTCGGTAAGTGTAACTAACTTATTTAGTCGGCCATTTTTATAAGAGAAAAAGAAATGAGGCTTTTGTAAAGTGGGGGTCAAAAATGCTGCCTGCCTAAAGATTATACATCTATACGCAAGTTCGTCAATCTCAATTCGAGCCTCTAAGAGTGAGCATCGTAGAAATATAAGAGTTCAAAATGGATTCGGGCAGTGATAGTGACGTAAGTGAACTAATTGAAACAGTTAAAAATATTTCCTTCGTCCACTTACCAACGGCCTGGAAATCAATTTATCAAAAAGTTTACGAAGAATTTAAGGAATGGTTAAATGCAAAAGAATATACCTCGATTGATGATGTTGAAGACGTGCTCATCGAGTATTTTAAAGAAAGTATGATATCGAATAAACCATCTGAGGTGCGAGCAAAGTATTGTATGTTACGTGCGACCTTCCTAGCTCATGATCAAATAAACATCGATGATTTCGATAAAACGGTGAAATTTTTGCAGAACATTGAACACGTGAAAATCGCTCAAGATACCAACTGTTGATGAAATTGTTAAATATTACGATGTGGCCTGAGATTATGATTACATTGAGATAACCGTAAGACTAGCATAATAATGCTGAACAATTATGTATAGACTATAGAATTGTAATATATTTTTTATAAAAACCACATTGTAATTGCTTAGTATAGTATTAATTATTGAAAATTTCATGTACGGACTATTCGATTTTATGTATTTTATTCATTCAATGCGAGTAGATTATTTTATTTCAGATTTCATTGAATTTTTCATTTGATAAATTCTTGTTACGTCGAATTATATCAGCCAATTCAATAATTATTTTCGTCGAATAGTGAAATCTGAGTCGTAACTCTACACGCTGACCTACGAAAAGAATATTTGAATACATAAGGCAGCACAAATAAAATATCAATATAGCTCAAATTTCGTTATTTCGTTAAGGCAGTATTTGATTTCAAATGTACTGTAAACGTCTTTGTTTATTTACTATATTACATAATGTATATAATTGAGTGGAGAAAATGAGATTCTAATAATTTGATCCATTATTCATGTTGTGATACAATTTCTATTTATATCGATAAATAAAACTATAATTAAATAAAAGACTCTGACAACTTAAATTATAATAACTAATACATCTAATAATAAATGATTAAGTGTTTTTGATTTTTCAGTTGTTCAATAAAAACTTTATTTTATTTTAGTTTTTTGATTTGTCGATTTTACGTAGATATTTTCTTCCTCATTTTGATAAATTTATGTTTTAGAGCCTTAGTGCTACGTGTCATATCCGAAAAATCAAGTATCGTCGAGCTATTTCTCAACCACGAGTTTTACGATATGACGTTTCTGTATACCCTTATAAAAATTTCCTGTAGGATCTCGCGAAATTCCTACAGGAGTCCTATAGGATTCCAATAGGAATTTCGCGGGATGCTATTGGAAATTTTTATAAGGGTACATAGTAATATAACAATAAACGTGTGAAAAAGGGGTAATAAAAAGAATGATGTAATTTACGGGTTATCATACCGCGCGCTAGTCACGGGATAGCTTACGCGAATTGGGTATTCTTCCAATATCGCCCACTATAATTCGGGATTCAACAATTATTATATATAGCGCGCATCTTTGTAATCTCTAGCGCTCGGCTCTCGGCTCTCTCGGATACAGCTTATCGTAGTTTTGGTCGCTGAGCTATCGCTGAGCCAATCGCGTGGTGCATTATAACTAAAAGTGTAACGAAAAATATAACATCCATTTTATATGTGCAAACTCTATAATAAAAGTCTTGTGTCAAACCTTAAATGTGTATCTTAAATTTTGGTGCACTTAGAGTAAGATAAGTGCTCGGGTATTATTTAACAAATAGTCCCGACATAACAATGCGTTCGTTTCACCTTCTCAATTGCACTGGGTTCGCTAAGCACGGTCTGCCTGCTGTGCAAATTTCTGTGTATTCTTTGTTCTGTATCAATTGACGAAGCTTTAAAGTATAATATTACAATTTTTTATTTGAGTTGTTAATTTAAAATTAATAAACTTTAAATAGATTAATTAATTTTTTTCTGGTGTACAGATTGAAATTATTTTTTTTATTAAATAATAAGATCCTTATACCTAAACAAACTCGGGAAAAACCATACGACCACAAACACGTTACAAGTTAGAAACTGGCACAGAGAGTGAGAAATGATTTGGTTCTACAATTATATTGTCGAATTTTTTTCGGGACATTTATTATAATAACATAAGTCATAGTTAAAGTATTATGTTTTACACTAGTTTCAGTAGTTTTGAGATTTATTCATTACCGTTTTAACAAAAATGATACTCGTGTAGATGAATTAAAGTAAAAGAGTACAGTTTTAAAGCAGATAAAATTTTGCACGCAAAAAAGTAAGCGCTAGCGCTTACCCTGAAAACGTAATTTTTGTTATTTTTCTCATTAAGAGTAATTTCGCAAGCAATCGGAAAGGACAAAATTTGTGTCAAGTTTATCATGGCTAAACAAACGGCAAGTAATATTTAAAAAAGATCCTGTAGCTGGCGTATGAAGTTTAAAAGAAAAAAAAACACGAAGCAGAAGAATTTGAGTAGACAAAGCCATGGTGGTCGCTCGAATACAGAAAAAATTCATCCAAAGCGGAAGGACAGAGAGTAACACACGTATACATGCGTACGCGCGCACAAAGAAATACCAACTCCGTAGCGAGCTTTGTCGGAAGAGAAAAAAACCTCATGTGTTGGAAAGATAAGAGATTATCCGCACGCGTGCGCGCGTCTATACGTTTGCTCTTTTACAATTCATTTTTTCTTCTAGCTGCTAGTGTTGCTGCCACTGTTATACAGCTTTTATTTTCATTTTTTTTTAATGAAATTTACATGAAGGCAGTTGGTTGCAACAGCTGAGCTATTCCTGAATCTCGTTTGTATCTCTTTTGTTTCCTTACATGCACGCACTATATATGCATGAATTTAGTTTTTCAAAACTTCATTCATTATTAAACATCTCGCAAAGTTTCATTATACACGTACTTGCAACTCATCGGGGCTCTCGAGTCTCGAGGCGAGTGCGTACCGGGTATTGCTCCGCTACACTTACAGCACTCGGGTTAAATTCCTATCCGGCGAAATTTATACACATCTCCGTTTCCGACCAACTTTACCGTTAATATACGCCAAGCAGGGAGCTGTAAAGCATGATTTTGCGCGCTTGCCAGCCACAGAATTTAATGCATTAAAGCGTCGGCAAGAAGCAAAAAAATCAATTCGGTTTATATCGAATTAATGCAATAATTCGTGGAAAACGAAAAGTTTAACGCTTATTCATGCGCAATGACGTTGACGAATTCTGATATGGAATCATGAAGAGACATTAGCAAAAGCCACCCTTACTACGCCGAGACGTACATTCACGTGAGTCGCTAACTGCAGCTGCGAAAACTTGTGCATGTATAAGTCAATATTGAAGTTAGTGGCAATTCAGGTGAAGTTGTACATTGTGTACCTGTCTTATAACCAACTAGTTCGACATCTCGCCAAATGCATTTGTTAACAAGTTGAAATCTTTTTCTTAACTCATGAACTTTCCTTGCCCTGAGAGGCAATCTATCGGCTGAGCATCATAATGCGATGAATCTTGAAATTAATTATAGTATGATTTGATCAATAAAAGAGCATAATTTTCATTCCGTTTTCTATTTTCATTAGACACAAGTGCGATTGCTGTTGCAAACTTTTAAAGAAAGTAACTTGATATATTTCCTTTAAACAATAAGAGTAATTTTCTTTCTTTTTTTTTGCAGGTGGTCACTCGGTCAACCCATCGATCGACTTGGGAAACTACTCGCCAGTTTTGCCGCATTTACCAGATTTACTAGAAGAGTAAGTATCCATCTCTCGAATTAAATCAATTTTAGTTCAATCATCTTTTTATTGTTACGATTTCATGTCTCATTACACTCGTAGAATTTTTCAACAGTCGTACTCGTAGACAATCAAAGCCAGTGTGGACGAAAAATTCATTCGTTCATCGTCGCATTTCGGGAAAACGCGTTACATACGTCGAAAGAGCGATCGGGGATCAAAATAAATCAGAGCTGTTGGCTCGTCGATACGTCATCAAGGCATGTTATCTAACGCTGCTGCGATGCACCTTTTATTTCTCTGCATACATACGCCGTTCGCAGAGAAAAACGTTATATTTAGCTTGACACACTAGTTTCCGTCCGAGTGGTAACTGTCACATTCTTATACATTTGTAGATGTGCTCCGTGAGTAGACGCAGAGCAACATTATACGGCCTACGGGGCCAAGTCCGTACAACAGTGTGAAGGCTCAGTAGACTATACGCGTATTGCCATTCTGTTTCCGGCGCACAAAGGGAGCTGTTGTGTATATACGTATAATATCGCCGTACATACACACACGAGCAACTACACACACGAAAAACAGAGTTTTTCGACCCCGCGCTACGAATAAAGCTCTGCGCGCGCAGCACATGGCGCGCGTATTGCCTCCACCAGTCGCCAGTACACATAGATACATCTATACGTGCAGTGCACATTTGCAGCACAGCCGTCGCGCGCAAAGCTATATACACGCATAAAGAGCTGTACTCGTGTATGTGTGTGTGTGTGTGTGCGCGCGTACGGCGTACATACATGTACGTGTGTGCGTGGGTTCAAAGCCGAGAGAATGTCCCCTCGAGCCCCCCCTTAGCGCTGAGCTGCCTGTGCGAGTGCCGCCGCCGTCGCCAAACTCGGCTTTCGTCGTCGGTTAGATGCCTCGGATCCAGCCAGCGGCTGCCAGTAGAGTCTCTTGCGTGCATCGTACTACGCCGACAAGCAGTTTTTTGCTTGCATCCTGACCATTTTATCATGGCCGGTGCATTGACATGATTCGCCGCCTCCGCGCGCATTGTTTTTATTCGTTTTTTATCCCTTTTTTTCGCACATTATGAGGCTTATTGCGATCGCTCTAATTTTCATTCAAGTCAGTGATACGTTTTACCCGGCTCGAATATTCGCCACTGGCCTCCGCAGCTCCTCCGTCAACGCAAGGTGTGCTTCGCTCGATTCTTATCGCTCTTTATTCTTGGATAACGATTACCGACTGTATACCTCTTCTAGTCTCTAACTTACGCGCTTTTGTTCTTGTTTGTGTCTGACTCTGTATTACACGCGCATGTGTGCGTGTGCGTGGGAAAGTATCACGATTTACGCGGTCTGCATGTAAATTCGTGCCGAGCGCTAGTGACGAGATGTACAAATTGGTCGTTCACACAGCGTAACCTTTGTTTGTTTTATTTTATGAATGAGATCAATGAGATAGTGGATGCTTTCGACTTTCGAGGTTACGATAAATTACTGTTTACACTTATTTGTTTACCAACAAACATGCCAAAATCGTCTATTAGCTATTGATGTCTTCTTATAGGGTAAACCGGCCAGTTATGGGCCACCCCCCCAGTTATGGGCCACTGTGAGCTATTATTTGAATAAATAAAAATAAAAATAAAATTTTGAATCTAAAATTTTTTCCCTATTTCTATTAATATTATTCGTTTAGAAAAAATGAAAAGCTCTACTTATGAACTGCTAAATCTTTTTTTTTATAGGATTTATAACTCTGCCCTGGCCCATAACTGGGCTATCCGGTAAAATTGTCCATCCAGTTATGGGCCAGCTGTAATAATCTTTAATATTATTTATTTAAACGGTTCAATTTAATTTTTAAGAATGATAGAAGTTTCCTCATACATTTTGAAACATGTATGTTCATGTTTCAGATGTTCAGTGCTCGAAAATAAAAATTGAACCCAGTCCTTAGTTCAGAATCATTGGTGTCCTAGTAGGGTGGCCCATAACTAGTTGATTCGCATTTTTTTGCTTTAATCACTTCTTGATTAATATTATTAGCTTTTTTATGTCAAGTGTAAGTACTCATTCGAAAGGTTACCTTTTTTGCTTTCAGAAGCTATTTTCAGACATTTTTTTTTATGTTATGCACAATTTCTATAAGTAAGCAAAGTGAAAATTTTTCTTAGGTGGCCCATAACTGGCCGGTTTACCCTATAAGCATTTTTTTTTTTTTTCAAACGATTATTTATCACAAAGTTTTGTTTGTCTTGTTAGAAATTGAGATGTCGAATTATCATTTTTGTAATAACGTAAAATTTATATTTTACAAAAATATTTACAAGATTTTTTCATTTCAGCAATGATGATGGAGATAACGTATTCTCTAATAAAAATTATGCAGGAGCATCAAGTACATTTCAAAAATCTTTCAATCCACAACCAACTTCATCACAAATCAGTACCCTAGATGTATCACAAATTAGTGGCCTTAAAAATGTCAATATACAAATTCCAGCAGGGGTGAGCCTTGCCAGTCTTCCTGGAGCTTCATTGATTCCAGGACGCAAAGATAATCAAGAAGGATATTGTGAAGTAAGCTCTAGCAAAAATTATTGGCCTCTGTATTCTGAAATGTATCATGTGTTATCTAATTATAAACATATTCATTTTAGCCGTATAAAGGTACAATTTGTGCACAGTTTGTGGGCAATCATTCAGTTTACATACCACATCCACTTACCCAAAGTATTTTGGAAGAAAAATTTTTGAAAGCTTTTCAAGTTATCAATCAGTCAAAGTAAATTTAATTATTACTCTTTTATTTAAAATCAAATGAAACTTTTTAAATTAATTTTTAATTTTAATTTCAGTGACTTGTCATCTAATTGTGCACCTTATGCTATGCCAACTTTATGCTTTACAACCTTTTCGGTTTGTCGAGAACCAAGAAGTCCAAAGCCTAGTACACAACTTTTCCACTTATTAAATTCCAACCAACAAGATTCTTTGGAGGAACCTGATACAGATGAAACATACAATGAAGGCGGTGAACAATTATATTCTCGAATTCGACGTGGAGCAAATCGACAACCAAATTATGAATCATCAATTGAGTCTAGTCGCAGACTCGCTTCACAAGCAGCAACAATAGCTGCAAAAAAGAATTTACTCAACAGCAAATTAAGACGTATCTGTCGTAAAGAGTGTGAAACTTTAGAAAATGATTTATGCCGCAAAGAATATGCAATTGCCAAAAGACATCCAGAAATTGGCAGGCAATTACCATTAATTGAATGTTCAGATTTGCCAGATGAAGGTACTCCAGAAGGAGCTGATTGCATGAGCATTGGTATTATTACGGAAGATGTTCGTGAAAGTAAGTAATTAATTTTCTCAACCAATAATGTCTATAAAAATTAGAAAATTAATACTTATATGCAATTTTGAAGATGAAAAATGTTTTTGGGGCAATGGACAATCATATCGAGGTCCTGTCAATAATAGCATAACTGGGCGTCCATGCATGAGATGGATTAATCAGTTCAATCTTCAAATATCTGAACATATTGAGCTTGCTGGAAGACACTCTTATTGTCGAAATCCTGGTGGCACTGAACAACAACCTTGGTGTTATGTTGATGTGAATAATCTTAGTCAAAAAGAAGTCTGTAATATACCCAAATGTGGTAGGTATACTTTACCAATTTATTTTCAAGTAACAAACTTCATAATAAAAGTTTCTTTTTGTTTTGCAGTTGAAGATATTTGGATTTATAGTGTTGTTGGATTTATATTAGCAGGAGGATTTGTACTAATTATCGTTTGTTATTGTTGTTGCTACAGAAAATCTAGAAAAGCTAGAAGACAGTCTAATCATTTGCCAACAAATAAAGTGAGTTATAATGAAATAATGAAAGTACATTTATTCTAATTCTAAAGATAAATAAATTAAATCTTTTTGACAGATCTTAACTGGGCTGCAGTGTGACAAAAATATTTATGATGGAAGGCGCAACAACGCAACACAACCGATGGAAATGAGTTCATTGTTAGCTGGTCCTGGGAATACAACTCCTGGAACTGGCACTCTTAGTAGTGGAAGCAGTAGGACTTCGAATAACAGAGTACCCCAATTCTCAATGAATAATGTGATGTTGTTGGAAGAACTGGGAGAAGGAGCCTTTGGTAGAATTAAATTTTTATTTCGCATTTAAATTTTCTCCATTAATTAGATCTTGATGACTGATTATTATAATATCTATATTTTAGGCAAAGTATACAAAGGAGAGTTACAAACTGGAAATAAGGATGAAGTAATCTATGTAGCAGTTAAGACTTTGAAAGAGAATGCAAGTCCAAAGACTCAGAATGATTTCAAACGCGAGGTTGACCTCATGACAGATCTGCGGCATCCAAATATTATCTGTTTACTTGGAGTTGTTTTTAATGGAGAACCTATGTGCATGCTTTTTGAGTACATGACTCAAGGGGATCTGCACGAATTTTTAATATGTCATTCCCCAAGAACTGATGTACCAGTTGGAACAGCTAGTGGAAAAGTCTTGGAACAACCTGAATTTTTACACATTGCTCTGCAAATTGCATCAGGTAATAATGCATGAAATCAAAATACTAATTGACCTTCCTCTTGCATAATCATAGCATAATTTCGAATTTCTTTTCTAATAGGAATGGAATATCTGTCAAGCCATCATTATGTTCATAGAGATCTTGCTGCTAGAAACTGTTTAGTTGGTGAAAACTTGACTGTTAAAATCTCTGACTTTGGTCTCTCCAGAGATATATACAGTAGTGACTACTATCGGGTACAGTCTAAGAGCTTACTTCCTGTTAGATGGATGCCACCTGAATCAATTTTATACGGTAAATTTACCACTGAGTCTGATGTATGGAGTTTTGGAGTTGTTCTGTGGGAAATATATAGTTACGGCCTTCAGGTATGCTTAAAAATTAATTTATGAACATGAAATGTAATTAGATTTTCAACAAAAAATACAAAATTATTGATTTTTTGCAGCCTTACTATGGTTACAATAACCAAGAAGTCATTGACATGATCCGTTCACGGCAACTTCTACCCTGTCCTGAAGACTGTCCGACTATGATCTACAGTTTGATGATTGAGTGCTGGCATGAGGTCGCCAATCGTCGGCCGCAATTCCCAGAAATTCATCATCGTCTTCATAACTGGTATGTCAATCAAACTTACCTGAGTGACTTCTGCAACGAAACAATTACGAGCTATTCGAGTAGCAGTCATAAAAGCACAAACAAGACAAATTCGACGCAACTGTCGTCGCCTCTCTACAAAAGTGATTCACTCAACAGGAACCACCAACAGCAAACGACCCTGAATCACCAGCAGCAACAGCAGCAACAGCAGCAGCAGCATGTTTTCTCTAATGGGACGCCGACGAAGATGGGATATTCGAATGAGAACAGTTCTAACGTCGATAAGCAGTGCTGTTCTCCAAAGCTGAGTGGGGCTAAAAAGGTGTTACCAATTATGGGTCAACATCCTCAGCCACTATTGAAAAATAATTTACCGTCTAATGGCACGAGATCATTACAGAATGGGGCTCAGCTCGTTGTCAGGTTACCTGATCCTAGTAAAGTTCTCACTGAAACTAGGTTATCAAAACAACAATAAATTATAGATTTTGTAATTCGTTGTTTTCAAGAATTGTGATGCAATGAAAAAATCGTACATTATTGAATACAGTACTTTTACTTTAAATTAAATCATGGTAAATTATTTAGAAAACAACGATTATAACAGCAACTTTTTATGAAATAATTTCTTCAGATTATTTAATACTAGTATTTTTTAATATATTCTACACATGGTTACTACAAAAATGCAATGGTTTCTTTTATTTGTTAATGAATTTATTTAGAACCCAAAATGATTCTAAATTTCATTTAAATTAGTTGTAAAATCATTGGCATTGTGAGATTTTTTTATTCAAATTATAGTTGAATACTCAAGTCTATCTATTTTAATAAGTTAATATACGAATGTATATGATGATAATGTGTGATCCTTTATTAGTGCCAGCCCTGAAGCATTTAATTGTTTTTAGATTTAAATATTTTAACTAGGTTCAAAGTTTATTTGAATTCATTTGTATTATATTTTAAAAGAAACGTATTATTAAACCTTTTGACTGAAATATCGTTGTTCCAGCGTAGCAAGCAAGATATCATCCAAAACTCAAGAGGCAAAAACGTACCTAATTTTATCAACATAGGACTCGGGTCTTTTTCGCCTTTTGAGTATTCAACGCCTTTCTGCACTGAGGCGATAAAATTCTCTTTTGAGTAATGATTTTATAAAGACCTTCAATTACTAAATCTATGAAACACTGCAGAATTAAAAAAAATATTTTTATTGATTAATGTCAAATTTTAAATATTGATTATTTTTCTTATAAAATTTAATGTAAATAGATATTTTTAAGTGCCATTTAATAAAAATGTCGTTGCATAAGTGTTACCCAAGTCTACTATCATCAACTAATACATTGAGATGATCTTTTCATTCACGTCATAATTATCCATGGCATTTTATTTAGAGCTTTAAAAAAGCAATTCCGTTGAGTTAAAAGCTACTTTGCTTTGTATCGTAGGCAATATTTGAAATTTGTAAGAAATTGCGATCTATAATATTTATTTCAATAATTGTATAAAAAGTTAAAAGCAATGTACGCATCGCATTTAATTCGTTATTTATCGAACATTGAGAAAATTAATAATAATTCGTCTTGTATTCGAGGCAATTATGCAATGTATATATGCACTAGGCTGACAATAAAAAAAAATTTTATTATATTGTCAGTCTGATATGCACATGATTTTGTATAGTTTTATACATTGAGTGTATAAAATTTATGTAAACCAGTAAGTCAAGCAAATATAGAAATGTATGTATTCTAGTTTGTACTTGATAGCTATTCCTTATCATTTTTTTTAAAATAACTTTATCAATAAAAATTTTTATATTTGCTTGTGACTGATCAAAGCATGGTTATTAATAATAAAAACGTATGACTACGTTATTTTGAAAATATACAGAATAGTGAATATTGCATGAGTGTAATTTATGAAGCGTGTATAATAATTTTGAAAGATCAATTTTTTATACATAGATAATAAAATACATGTATATTAGATAAATATGTGTCTGACCAAAATAGCTACTTCGATCATGATTCTAATTCAAATAATTATTAACAATTATTTATTGTAAAATTTTGAGTATGTAAGCAAATACTGTATAATTATTCTACGTATTTTAATGTACAGATAAAAAGAAAAAATGATAGTATGCATTGATGAATGAATGAATGAAACAGTACTTTATATCTTGTCAAATGTTACAAAAAAAATAAGCATATTAGTAGATAAAATAGTACTTGCTATTGTTGCAGTGGTTTGTCATACAAAAAGAGAACAGAAATGTTTTAAGAGTCCTTGCTAGATTTAACTACTGGAAATAAAAACTATCAAAAAAAGTATTCTTCACAATATTTGTGTTCGTGCAAAAGACTTGTCATAAATGGAAAAATTGTAGATTTAAAACGTAATTTATATACAAATTTATAATAATTCTTACTCTTTATATACATATATGTTACAGTAAATACATAATCAATGTTTTTATAATTTTTCTAGATTTGTTATTAATATATTTCTCATAAATCCTCATTGTCATTTTCTATCCCGTTTTCTTTTATAACAACTTACGTTTATGAAGATTAAAAGTTTTAAAATAAAAATCTTTTTGGTTTTTACAAAAATAATCAATATCATAGGAAAATATAGTATCAAATCTTTTGTAAGTAATCTGAATTGTAATCTTTGAATTAAATCAATTGCAAGAAGTATAGTTATTTCAAAAAGCAATGGAGTAATTCAAACCTTTAGTTAACATAAAATAATAACTTAAAACTAACACTATTGATGAACTATAACTTGGTATACAAGCTAAGGGGTGTCAAAAATGACTGAAATTAATTTTTTTCAGCAGTATTGAGTCATTGTTTATTATATAAAACTGGTATATAATTTATAAAATCATTGTATAAGTTTACAAATTTTTATCCTCATGATTTTTTCATTATTGCATCATTTCATTTTGCAAAATTTAATAATAACTAAAATCGCTTCTTTTATTTTCAATAGATACCATTAATTATCTATATGGTCACAAACATGTATACAAAACATATCACATCAGGTTTCATACACTTATATGAATACTAATTTTATAAAATCATTCTAATCTACAATGAAACTCTAATGTGTATAATTAAAGGCACTTCAGAATACAATTGTACTTATGAGTTTTTTCTGATATATCACATGTTTTATATAGAATATTTAAAAGCGCATTTAAAATTAATCTTACAAAATATAAATACTGCAATGTTATTTTGTACAAATATCAATTTCTTGTTAGCCACAAAAACAATCACAAAAACATGCTAAAAATGTGAGAAGCCCAGTTTTAGTACAACAGTCATCATCAGAATAATTTTCAAACCGTTCATCATTGTCATGATCATTAAAAACTTTTTCAAAACCTATATAGTCAATGGTTCGAATTTGATCACCTGCACCTTCAACTTCATCAGGTAATGATGGTTCACTTGGTTCAATTGGAAATTTTTCTATTGAATTTTGCAACATTTCCTCTTGCTCTTGATTTTCTTTATAATCTACAGTAGTAGGTTGAATATTTACTGTGCCACTTGATGGAGAAAGTGTGTTAGTTGTTGGATTTTCACTTTCAGAGTTACTATTTAAAAGAGGCATATCTTCCTTTGGTGCTGATTTTGTTTGTCTTAAAGTATCCATTTGATGATAATTTTTCTAAAAATATTTATTTAATTAAAATTTGCAAAATGAACTATAATTATTTATAAAAGTATAAATTTTTTTCTTACTGATTCTAAAGGATCTTCAGTTACTTTAGTGTCAAAAATATTTCTTTCATTTCCATTATCAAATGTAGACAAAGATTTTTGTTCATATGCGTCGGAATCCACTGAAAAAAGTGATAATAAAATAAAAAAAAATAAAATAGAAAATCTCGGTCACATCCACGTTAAAAAACATAACCATTAAAATTTGATTTATTTAGAGAAAAATCTTTTCATGTGCGAATTAAAAATTGATTACGAGAGAAACATTTTGGCACATACCTGGTTGTGACCAATCCATGTTTCCAGCGTACCCGTATTCGTCATCCATTGTGAAATATAATGGAACAGTTATAAAATTACTTTCTTATTAAATCTGAAAATTCTAAAGGTGTGGTGAGAGATGACTACTCTGGGAATTAGAATTAGAGCTGATGATTGGAGGATGTGACGCTCATATACTGTAGCACTAAGCACACCTTATGCATTTGATCCAAAGTATCTCACTTCATCTCAAGCGTTTCAATATCTCAAGTGGGGGTGTCATGAACCTTACGTTTATAGCGCTAAGAGATTCATTTTTTACTCAATTTTGATTTTTTATCTAATTAAAAGGTATTCTGAGGGAAAAAATAGAACTGAATACGAAGAATTTGATAGATCGAAATGAGTTCAACATGGCATGTTCTTCATAAAGGTGGGAAAGTATAGTGAATGTGCTATATTTCGGACACGTAAAAAAAACCTTTCTTTGCTCATTTATAGAGCTTATGAATGACGTTTGGAAATTTTTTTTAAAATGCTTTATGATAGGAAAAAAATTAACCTTAAAAATGAGCATATACACTTGGACAAAAAATGCTGGCGATGATTCTAAAAAATAATTATAGTCAAAAAAATTCGAATCGTCTATTTTTCGACCATTCCACTAAGTCGTCAATGACCCAGAGCTTGGGACTTGTACGGAAAATTTTAATTTTCGAGGTCTACAAGCATAAAAAATGAATTTATGTTTCTATAGGTGCATTAGAAACCTATTGCTGATCTTCAAATTGAGGAAAAAACTTTTGAATAAAAATTATTAAGGGTTACTGGTGGTGGTCGGAAACTGCAAGAACAACTTTATCATATAATCTAATTTTCGACCAGGTCAGAATTATAAATTGAATTTTTTCTGAAACTATAATATTTATAGAATCGTAAAAATATTTTATTGCATCGAAATTTCGCATATATTTCTATTTATGTAAATAATATCTTAGGGTGTTCTGTAATGGACGCATTCACCCTATTTGAATTGAATTTGATTTGGTTTATAAAATGAATATAATGATTGAAATTCATTTGATTTGAAAATATTATTATTAAAAGAAAATCGAAAGTACATTCATTATGTATAAAAACTTTCCATTTTATTTTTCTAACCATTCACATTAAATTAATCCATAATGAAGTCCATGAATATATTTATAATCTGAATGAGCTTGAAGATATTATTGAATCAACAGTCTCATAATAATGTATAATTAACAGTTTACCAGTAAAACGTGATAAATTATTCTTTTAATTTTTAAAAATTATGTTAAATTTAAATTGATCAATATTAACTTTTTAAATTAATTATCACAATGTCTTTATTCTAAACATGGTATAACATTATGGTTAGCTCATCACTTCAATAAATATTTTTTTCATATATTAGAACATTTCATTGTAAGCAATATAAAAGCAATTAAAATGCAAGTCTTTAAAAAGTTGTTGCAGTTGTAGAAATTCAATTATATGACGTAATACTTTGATATTCACATTGTTTGCAGCATTTTATAAAATGACATGGCTACTCTTTTAAAAAAATAAAATTTTTACTTTTCTATATTTACACATTTACTCTATACCATGAGCAAAAATCATTACAAGACCTGGTTCTGCTATCATATCTTCTGGCATGTGTCGATTGTCACAATGAAGTACAACAACAGCTTGTTTACCTGGCACTCTTTTACAAACATAATTCTCATATTGACGACGAGAATTTTGACGCGTTTCTAGGGAATTCAATCCTGCAGGCCACTTACGTTCATGACAATTTTCCATTAGTTCATTAATTACATGGGTTGGACAATGATACTCAGACAGAGTTCTTTTAATAAGTGTCTGGAATGAAAGTAGTATTTGTTAAAAAAAATGATAGAAGCTCAATTAAAATCTAATAGCAAAAAGATAGTTTCCATGATTGCTCTTTACCTGTAAAGATTCATCAGGTGTTGAAATCATTCCACCCCAACGAGTTACCCTAGCTCTTGGCAAAGTGATGGACCATCTAGCTATTTCATCTCGTTCCATCTGATCTGCAATATCTCGCATTATTGGGTTGGACACCCTCATAGCTCTCATAAAATCCTTTAAAAGATTAACTTCTCTTTTTTGTTCATTTAGTTGGAATTGTTGTTCATTTAGTTCTCTCCTTATTTCAGTCAATTTTTGGTGTTGTGATTGAACTAAATTTCTTAGTTCCCTAACACAATTATGATTCTTCATTTCATCTTTGGGAATGATTAAACTGCAACCTTGTTCACAAGGAACGGGTCTTTTAGGATTAAATTCACACTCTTCAAGATGAGCCATTAATGTATCAAGTTTAACATCTTGTTGACAGCCATGAACAAAATTGTCACATTTAATACGCAGACGTGAGAGTAAATTTCTTAATATCCTTGGAGCTGGTAAAAGTTGCGCTGAAGTTATTGGAGTCCGATCTAATGGGCAAGTAGGTTGTCGGCTAATCCATTCATTAATACATGTCTTACAAAATGCATGTTCACAAGCTGGTGCCTATATTAAACATAAAATTATACAATTGATTATGAGAATATCAAAAGAATATAAAACATCACATTACCTGCACAGGGTCTTGAAGAACTCCAGAGCAAATTGGACACACTAATTCTTCGTCAACAGGTCCTTGAAAACGAGCAACATCAAAACCCATCTCTTGTTTTTGTTTCTATTTACTTGAGAATTTATACCAACAACACTATTGTTTGGTACACAGATCAAAATGCATTATGTTGTTGTTAGAAACCTAATTTCAGTGATGGATGTGTATTAGAAAGCTAAATTTTAACATTCAACAGAGAGAGCTGCAAAAAGTTGATCATTAATTATTTACACTGTTGATTTATTATATATTTAAACTTGCTTTGAGTTACTCAAAAGTAGCAGAAATAAAGCTTACAGTATAAAAAAGATCACGTCTTCCATTTGATATAATAAATAACGTATGTAAATATTGTACTTGTAGATACACAAAGAGACATCGGTTTCTTCTCCAGAGCAATAAGTCACAGGGAATTGATTATATTAAGAAAGTAAAGTTCGAGAAATATCGACTTTCTTTTTGATTTATTCGAGCAAATTGGTTAAAAACTCAGGGTTTATGATTGGCGAATTTTTTCACAGACTCGCGTTGACTGCTGACACTAGTATTAACTTAAACAACACTTATTAGCAAGCAACAGTGGGACAGGAAGAATAAGGCAACAACGTGGGTTTCGTTGTTAATGTCTTATGGACACCCACTCATAACACTGCAGTTCAAGTCTTGAAAGCGGGCCAGAAAAGAATTGCCATTCATTTGCATCGTGCGCTGCGTTATGAGAACTTGAGCGAGCGCGAGCAGTGACACTTTGTTATAGCAGCCACAGGCCATACAGCACGACTCTCTACTTTACTGGCTGAGCGTTGCAGTGGCTCGAGCGATGAACTACACAAATGTGCAGTCTGTTTACAATAGTCCACATGCACCAATCCAGGGGCGCGTCAGCGTCTTCATAGATTGATCCGTTATTGTTTACAAACATAAGCTCCCATAGTCCCATCGTTTTCTCAGTCGATGTGAAGTTGTCTTATGTATTTCTTGAACAAGTTGATTTTTAAAAAATTAGAAGACCACGAGGATGATTCATTGGGTTTTATCACTTATTCATATTTTTTTCTCATATAGACGAAAATCAGTACAATAATACAAAAAAATGATGATTAATTCATAAATTGATTCTCATTTCTCGTAGCTACATCGATACATTCAGTGATGATTGAACAAATTGATGAAAATGGAGCTAACCTCAATAGTGATGCATAGAAAAATATTATTTATATTATAATTATTAAGTGAAGTTTTATATCATTCATAAAAAGTTAAAAATAAAAAGTTTTGGTAATATTTCCAACGGGTTTTTCTAGTTTATTATATGGAATTAGACAACTCGTAGCGATATTATATCTCAATTGTCTTTATCAATAATTTTTATATTGGTTTTCCCTTGTAAATTCAGAGTTTATTAATACATTTGAATAGACTTATATTTTTTGTAAGTGTGGAAAATAAAATGCGTATACATACTTATACCACCGATGAAAATATTTGAAGTGTTGCCTCATTTAATCTGTATTACGTAGTTCCAAGACTTGATAATTATCTGATCGATCTCTTTTTTAACAATGTAAATTTTGGTCGATATTACTGTTTGTGATTAAAAATATAAATGAATGTGTATAAGAATATTGGATCTTTTAACTGCATACTTAGTTCTTACGCAATTGTTAGGAATGCGTTTATATGTTTTCTCAGCAAAATCAACCATCCGAGAAATACTTGCAACTGTGAAGGTTTAATTTTTTTTGTAGTATTATTACAGTCACTTCGATGGCAAAATAACTATTGAATATTCGAAAAAATTTTGTAGACTCTGGTTTTAGGAGACGAAATTTTCAACGCATATATCGTTAGCTTTTATTCATTTAAACAAAAAGAATGCATCAACCGCTTGAAAGATCGGTCGGCAGCAAGATACAGCACGTTTAATCCCTGGTGAATAGTCTTAATTAATTTTGCGAACGCATATAATTTTCAAAAATAATCCGATATAAAGAATCGTACTAATACACGCAATGCTTCATACGCGAAGTTCAGATGTGCTTCCAAGAATTTATTGTTACATGAATTTGTCGCATGTCGTATGACGGGAAATAACAACCGCAGAATAGAATGTAATTCTTCACAGCTAGATAAACTGTGATCGGTGTTTTTTTTATCAATCGCATTCACGCGAACCATTACTCGTTACAATGCTCAATTATTGCATAATTTTCTAAATGTATATAGTTATTTAAAAAGTATTCGATTATCGTCAATGTAGCACTTCTGTTTTGTTTCTTTTTATTTTTGCAATTTTTGCGGCAGTTCAATATTGTAAATTTGTGGTAGTAGGTCACCCCAGCAAAACGCATGCATAATGAGCGTCGCGCTTAATAATGAAAATTGATCAAGTTTCTTCAACCGGAAGACCAAGTTAATCGAAGTTTTATTACAAACACGCGGTACGCTCGACGCGTCCACACAACAAATCATGATCGAGAAACATAAAATACTACATCATGTTATAAACACCTTGGACTCTCGGCGCTACACGTCGCGCACGCGTGCTCTTGTTTGTATACACATTACACGTGAATTTAACTGAATTGTGGACAGGTCGGCTTTTGAGCATCATAATACTGATTTTCGAAGCACGCGAACCACATGACAGCACATTTCATTGCATTATCATGTGGGTGATGAAAAATTTTAATGAAGCGCAACATTCAATTACATTTTTCTTATACTTTCTTTTAAATACTATTGGAATATATAACTGATAACTAAAATTGAATTTTCTTGAAATAATATTTTATGTTACACTTACATCAACATTAACAAATAATTCTTTTATTCCATTTATCACTACTTTTATACTTCTCCGCTTTTTCAAAAAGTTTAAAAATGATATAAGAATATCAACATTTCATAGTTGTGAAAATGTTACTAATATTTTTCAAAAGTAAAAGAGTAGTAAAATAGTAAAAATAAGCGAAAAATTGTGTAACGTATGCATATATAATACTACTTATTGTTGAAAAAATTCATTTTTTACTCTTTTGTGCATTTTTAAAGAACTTGAATTAATTTGAGTTCAGAAAATTCATTCATTTCTTTGATGAAAAATACTGAAGATAGAATAAACTGAGTAAAAAGTAAAATAAATATGGAAAAATGAAAGATTAATATGAAATCGATTAGAATTTCACATTTTTTTTGACTTCTTATTTAAGTTCATTACATTGTTACGTATTTTATCTGAAACTTTTATTCCGTTGGGGATAATATATACGTACTTAATGACATACCGGCTCGAGCACGCGTTATATATGTTAGGTGCGCGCGAGAGACGGCTATATACACATGCCGATTCCGGCGCGATCAGTCGCACACAGGCTCTCGGGCTAGACGCATCAGCCGCGACGAGGCACGGCTCATCATCTCCGACGCAGAGAATTGGCGCGAGCTCTCGCGGCTCGACTTACGCCGCCGACAAAGGACGCGCATTTTAGCCCGACCCATGAGTGAAAGTATAGGCACGGAAGATTCGAAACCGGAGCAGAGAAGAATATATACCGCACATATATATATATAGAGTGAGCCGTGACCTTCGCTAGTGCCCCAAAGGTTTCCAGATCCAACCTGCATTGGGCTTTGGTATCGAAAGACTGAGTTAGCACCGAGCGGTGCATACGGATATTCAACATGGCGGTGGGCGAAGAAGGCACAGTCGAGCCGGTAAACATTTCTTTTTTACACTCATTCTCATTTACGCAATTGTCTGTTGCGCCTAGCACGTGTGTAGCTCTATGTGTTTGCTTGTGTGCGTGCGGTCTATTTCAACCCGACCGAGCGAGTGTCGTTGGCTTGCAAAAGCTGCACCTATGCTGGCTCGTTGTTGTATTGGGCACCGGTTCGAATGCCAAAAGATTTCATCGCTTTCACGTTTGCGCGCTTGGCTTCGAACGCCCATGCGAGTCGATGCATTGCATCTATACTTAATACAATGATATAATTATAGACAATTGCTCCATCTTCGAGATCGAACGTCATTCATTACGCATTATTTAACCATGTTGTAAAGTTCTTATGCTTAAATTTTGATTGATAACAAGTATCAATCGTAAAATCTCCAGAACGATTTTTATCGTAATAAAGATAGGTTGACGTCTTTTTTTTACATTTTTTCCTTTCTTTTTATTTTTTCAATGCACGATACGATTATCTGTTTAAATCTTCGACTGTGTTCGATACTTTTTCCTCTAGCTGTAATTTGAATGAAATATACCGATTGTTGCGTTGGCTTTATTACATGAGCATTCACCGAGTCAAAGACTTTGTTGGAAAATATTTTAATCAAAGTATTTGTGCTAAAGTAAGCGATAATGACAAGCAACTGCAAAGAAAAAGCTGCTCTCATTGAACTTAATCTGTGAATATTATCTATGTAGGATTTTCAAGATAGGAGAAAGAAACGTCTTATGACAATTATACTGCAAAGAAATCCTGCAAAGATAATACTCTATGCTCATGAATAGTCAGTCGAGGCTGGACAACGTATTTTTATGAATCATATCAATTTCCTGAAAATTTGTTTAAATTCACATCATATGGGCGTCCATAAATAGCTACTCTCACATGCCGGCGTGAAAACGCATCTCTACCGTAACGCCGGTTGTTTACTGTGTAAATATTTGAAAACTTAAAGCAAAAATAAATATCAACACCTCGATTGGGACATAATGTTATCTCACGTGTTACGGTAACTATTCCAATAGATGGTTCGAGTTTCTAATAGACGGATGATTGGTTGTTTTGAAGATTATTAAAATTATTTTATAATATTCAATGGTCGTAACTGTTTTGTTAATTTATAATAACTTAAATGTATTTAAAAGTACAGTATATTTTTATTACATAATCTAACTGCTTATTTATGTTATAATTTAATTAAATTGCTACTTCTATTTTTTAGAACAATAAAAATATTGTCCTTTTATGATGTTAACTCTTTGTTCATTTTGAAGCCAAAGATAATAAACACATTGAAAAAAAAATTAATAACAATATTCTGGGCAAAATGTTGAAATAATTTCTAACAAAATAATAAATGAATGTATGAAATAATAAACTTATCACTTTTTACAGAAACTTAAGTATCCGAAATCGGTTTTCTTCATTGTCAGCAATGAATTCTGCGAGAGATTTGCCTACTACGGCATGCGAAGTAAGTCCTTTGAATTTCAAGAAAAATTTCACCAGCTTTTTCTACTTGAATAAACCTTCAGTGCATACAAACAATCCAATTTCTATTAATTTTTTTTCAGCAATACTCACGATGTACTTCACGGATATTTTGCGAGTTGAGGAAAATGATGCGACGGTTATGTTTCACATTTTTTCGTCTCTTGCTTATTTCTTCCCATTGATTGGAGCTATAATAGCCGACTCATTCCTCGGAAAATTTAGAACCATCTTATACCTCAGTATCGTCTATGCTGTGGGTCAACTTCTCCTCGCTGCAAGCTCAATGCCAACATTCCACATGCCGGTCATGTAAGTGTTTATGTCCAATTCGAATATCAATAATACTTGATTATCAAATGCACGGCTTGAAAATTTCTGTGAATTATTCAATGTAAAGATGCAAAAACTACGATAAAAGTATATTTTTACATATCAACGCCACTTCAAACATATTATCATTTTATTAATCAACTTGCGATGATGAAGCGATAAAATATCTCTTTCATTATAAACTGGTCAATTCATCCTATCGATAACGAGAAAAGATCTCAACGAACAAGTTTCATTCGATAATTATAAAAAAATGCGAATGTAAGCGAGCATCAAAATTGTGCACAATCAAATGACTCTTGACAAAATAGTTTGCGTGTCTCGCGTCACGTTGAGAGCTATATAATAATACGAAGCGATAGGTCGTTCACACGCAACGCGCGACTTGACTTTTAATGCTACACATTGATGTCTGACCCACTTTCTATGCCATACCCGAGCGACATCCTTGTACAAGGTCTTTTTACGGCAGTTCATCAGTGAACGCGACTGATTTCTCTTAATTTTTTTCCGTTTTCATTTTGAGCGGATGAACAATCATATGCAGCTCATTGTTTGAGCTCCGCCGGATTCTTTATGATTGCAGTCTGATTTTGAGAAAACTCTTCAGAGTTCATTGATAATCAATGTAGATCTAATTAATATCACAATGGAAATATAACAAGAAATTATTGTGAGGAATACAATATTATTTAATAAAACTCATGAGTATTTTTATTTAGTTAGTTATTGGTATAGGTAAAACGACGAAGATGAAAACCCCATTTATTAACATTGAAGAATTCATTTTCATCAAGAAAAAAATTCTTGATCCTAATATATAAATTTTTATTAAAAAATGAAAATCCATGAAGCAATCAACTAAATTTCTTAAGTGAATCACAATCATAATAAATAACTAGCTTGCAGAGGGAAATTAGATTTAAAGCTTATTTTTTCGTATCAATAAAATTTGATATTATTCAATACAGATGGAATAAAAATTTATGGATTTCATAAGCACGACCTTCCAATTTTATATCGCCGTAATTTTTTTAAATGTGATTTTTTTGGTTTAGTAATAAAATTAATGCTCAATAGTAACGAAAAGTAGAATTTTGCGTGGACGTAACGAAGAATATAAAATATAATGAAGTTTCCATAAATGATTCACTGTATTTGTGAAATCATTTTAATAATATTTTTCTTTTACGAGTTACTAGTAAATTTAATACGTTATGATGGTTTGCAGGGAAACATCGATAATCGGACTGTTTCTCATCGCGCTCGGCACAGGAGGCATAAAACCCTGTGTATCAGCTTTTGGAGGCGATCAATTTAAGCTTCCAGAACAAGAGGTGTATCTCTCGGCCTTTTTTTCGTTGTTTTACTTCGCCATTAACTCAGGCTCGCTTCTTTCGACCATCATTACGCCGATCATGCGTAAAGACTTGACATGCTTCGATCAAAATTCATGCTACCCACTAGCCTTCGTAGTTCCTGCTTGTTTGATGATCGTATCAATTGGTAAGCAATCAATTTTATAGTTTTTCGAATTTAAAAAGCTGGAAGTTTTACCATGAATTCTAATTGCAAATTTACTATTTTAGTTATATTTGCTAGCGGTAAAAGACTATACAAGATGAAGCAACCATCTGGTAATATTGTGGTGCAAGTTTCCAAATGTGTTGGTGTAAGTATAGCAATTACTTGAGTGAAGTGTTTTAATTTGAAAACAATTCGATAATAAAATAAAAAATACGGCCAAGAGTAAACCAAAATATTTTCAAAATTTTGCTTTAACATCGTGACATTTGAGGCGATATCAATCTGTTGATATTACGCTATATAGAACAATGTTTTTATAGCTATGTTGAGATAATTACTTTGTAACGATAAAAAATCACGATAAGCTAAGATTATCGCAATTATCAGTCCAATAATTTGTGGCTAAATCGAAAATGTTTAAGTATCGATTCGTTTTGCATCAGACTCAATTAAATCAGATGTTTGTATTTTTAAGTAATTTAATTTAATTAACATCATTACCTATGTTTGATGAAATTTTCACTTAAGTTACTGTGTATTTCCTATTTAGCATGCCTTAATTCGCAAGTGTAAGTCTAAACAAAGCCGGGATCATTGGCTGGATCACGCAGATGACAAATACGACCGACGCATGATCGAAGACGTCAAAGCCGTTATTAAAGTCCTGAAGCTCTTTATCCCCCTGCCATTTTTCTGGGCTCTCTTTGACCAGCAGGGCTCAAGATGGACATTCCAAGCGGCTCGTATGGACGGCGATGTATTTGGATACGTGCTCAAGCCCGATTCGTTCCAAGTGCTCAATCCTATTTTCATCATCATGTGTATTCCCATCTTCCAGTTTGCCGTTTATCCGGTCATAGAAAAATTTCTGTTCATCAATACACCTCTGAGAAAGCTCAGCGTTGGTGGTATACTTGCCGGTCTTTCTTTTGTCGTCTCGGCTCTCGTTGAGTTCCAGCTCGAGGTAGGTGATTGGATTTTCAGCATACATTGTAAATAATAAGTAAATCTTAACAATGAAATTTTTTCTTCAGCCCACTTATGAAATCAAGCCGTCCAATGATTTTGGACAATTAAGACTTTACAACTCTCTCAATTGCACAGCCAATGTCACGCTCGGACAGCAGCAATTTATACTCGATAACCTTGGCATGTATCAAAATTTGAGCGTGCCCGTTAGTAAGAGCGCCGAGTTTGATCTCAAAGCGGAATATCCAGCTGCTTGTCACGGCGCGGCCAAACCGTTTGTCGGTGAGTATTCCGATCAATTGTTATTCTGCATCGATATTCGATCACCGGGGCGTGCATGCATTTAAAAACACTGTCTCTGTAGTTACCGGCAAGGTCAATGTCTTGGAGAAGGAAGCGCTCACATATGCTATCAACAGCACGCACGTGAGCAAAGCTTTCGAAGATCGAGCCATGAAATCGGACAGCGGAGATCCCAGAGTTCACGCACTGGTGCTATTTGAGGAGCCGGTCGACGGGCCCGTCTCTATTAGACTCGAAAGTTCGACCAAAAATTTCTTGTTCAAGCTGGACTATAGGAACGGAACGATTCAGATGACGCCTGTCATCGAAGTACTTCACAATTCGTACAAGCTAGTGATCAAGGATCAAGTCGTTGACGAGGAGTTTTGGATGAAGAACGGAGGAGTTTATACGATCAACGCTCGCATCGGCAAGTACTTCCAGGAGGCCAAGGGTATCACCGTCGTCAACTCGAATTCTATTCACATGCTCTGGTTGATACCTCAGTACATCATTATCACCATGGGCGAGATCATGTTCTCGATAACGGGTCTCGAGTTCGCCTTCACCCAGGCGCCGGTCGCCATGAAGTCCTTGCTGCAGGCTAGCTGGCTTCTGACCGTCGCCGTGGGTAATCTAATCGTCGTCGTCATTGCCAAGCTCAGATTGTTTGACAGACAGGTACGTAAAGAAACAACAACAACAACACAAGTTAATTGAAAAATTCATCGCGACACGTGCAGAGATAGCATTATATTATAGTTTTAGAAAAAAGTATTACAAGGTCAAGAGAGCTCTTTACAATGTCTCGTTTAGATTAGATAATGCACGCATAAGCAGCTCGAAAATATTTCAATTAACTTTCAAAATGAGTTGCACAAAGTTATTCAGTCACACGTTTCATTCTCACGATGTTGTCATTTTTCTCTTACAGTCGTTTGAATTTTTGCTGTTCGCCGGTCTGATGTTCGTCGATATAATGATATTTGCTGTGATAGCGCGCTACTATACTTACGTCGAGAACACCTCGCACGACGGCTCCATGGAAGAGATCGATATGAAAAGCAAAGCGAAAGACAAAAACGAAACGTACTCCGTTGATCTCTGACAGAATGACTCTACAGTAGTCATTGCAACATTTAAGGAAATATCTAAGCCAAGATTAAAATGAATAATTTCAAACATGTTTTTGAGATTTTCACTGAATATTTTTTTATAAAACTACATGAATGTCTAGAAAGTAAAAAAATTTACACTCACATAATTTTTTTGAAAATGGATAATTCATAGAAATCCCGAAAAATACGTTCAAAAATTTTTTTTACCTTTGATATTTCCTTAATCAAGACTGTAGTACTAAGCCAAATGATTTTTAATTGTATAAATTTATACGAACGTTATTCGATGCACAAATGTTGACTGTTTACGATCAAATATATATTATTACTATTATTGATGTAGTTGTAATAATCTACTCGATCGCGGGATACTCGAAGATTGGAATTTATTGAATATTATGCAAAACTCTGAAGTAGAGTACTTCAGTACAAAACTATTTAACAGGAAGTAATTACAAACGTCGTTATTTTAACTGTCTAAGATGATAACGTTTTGAAGCACATTCAAGCAAATTGAACACACCTGTACTGATCTCTTGAAGCGTCATATTATGCGTGAATGTAGATTTTGTACGACACAATGCATTTTTGCACTTTTAATTTAATGTACACACACGTTAATTATAAGCTATCAGTTAAAACGTATTTTATCGAGAATAGAATTTATTTTAAGAGAGATTTTTATGTTTAAATAAAAAAGTTTTTCCATCAACTTTGCACGTTCTGATTTCTCATTAATATTTCAGCGACTGATTTGAAAACTGTTTGCACCTGATTAAAAATTAAGCTTTCTCTTAAAGTTTTGATGGTTGAACATGAAAACATGTCAAGTCGTTTCTTATTCATAATTCTAATTTATCATAATTGTGATTTCCATTTTGATCATTCAAGTTTTTTATTATACTCAATAAAAATGTTTTGATTGAATATGCTGGTTATAGCAAAACATTTCTTCACCGCTAATGCAAGCTTGAGCTTTCATTTCATTGGAATCATGTAGCACATGTTCGCAGTTGTCTGATACTCATACAAGAAGTTGGTGGATTCTCACCTCTAGGAAAGCATTCGCTAGAGGCAATAGAGGCGCTCTAAAGCTCCTTCCACTCCGAACTTCGGTACGGCAGAGCAGCGCTGTATCGAGCCAGTGCCCGGTTGGTACGTAAAGCTCGATCTGCAGCCTAAATGAGCCGTGCACGAAGGCACGAGGAGATCGCCACCTATGCTGCTTTACGCATACTGCGTACTTGTTGCGAGATGCTTTGAATTGATTGTATACAAACACGACACGCGGAAATGTATAGACGCACGCGCGCGCGCTGATACACGCAAATGGGCGAGTGCGCTGCAGTTGCGGCTGCTGAATATACGAGTTGAACGTTCGAGGGTGCGAGACTGCACCGGCTCGGTGCATATTATTTACACGCAGCTATGTAATGATTCGGAGCTGTAGCGTAATGTGGCGCGTAAGCTCGTTCCTGTTTCTCGAGCGAACTATTTCGGCGCTGGTCTGCACTTAATGGCCAAGTCGTCGGTAATTCGCTTCGCTGCTCGACGTGTGCACGTGTATGTTGAGCTGCAGCCCAGCGCGAGCTGTAAACGTCGTTACTTCATTGCCGAGAACATTAGCAGCAGCGCAACCGCTTTTGCAAGTACGCTGCTTCTTTGAGAGTCGCGTACAATTTTTTTACCTTTCTTTTTGTCATTTAGATCGAGTCGATTTTCGGTCGTTAGCATCGACCAATTCCAATTAAAGCTCGTTTCGGTCTTTATTTCGATTGCTAAGCTTTCAATTATTAAAATCTCATTTTTACAAGTTCAACTGAAAAATAATACAATCAAAGGTTTTATTAGTGTAATACTATACACCGTGTTTACACGCTAATGTAAACGAGTACTTGATCATTTGGGCGACTCGAGCGACGCTTTACAAGTCCGGTAATAATTTTTTTTTTTTTGTTTACAATGAGAAGTTACAGTTGTTTGAATTTAAGCAGTAATACGTACAAAAAAGGTTCAGCTGCTTTGAAATCAATTCAGTCAAAGGCTGCTGAGCTTTCTTTTTCTTTGGACTACAGAGGTGAGGATATGTCAAAAATAAAGCTCTCCGAGTCTGTGCCAGCTCGTTTCTTTCCTCCACGCGCGCGCGCGCGTCTATATAATCTCCCACCGAGACACTTTAGCCGTAGTATGCGTATTGCTAGAGTTTATAAACATACACAGGCACAGAATCACTAGGAGGCCAAGTGTCGCACACAGCATCGTCGTTGGAGCACGCACACAATTTCGCATCGCTTAGTTACGCGCTCGTACGTATAGATGCACACTTTTAAGCGTATTGCTAGGAAAGCTGCGCGCGTGCTCGATCGCGTTGAAATCAGCATCGCTGCGCAGAGCAGTCTGCCTGCCACCCCCGCAAACCAGAGAGAAACAGAGAGAGTGAGAGAGAGAGCAGTTTGTGTGTGTGTGTTGGGCTCTCCCCACCAGAGCAGCGCAGTAACTCTCTAGATCTGCCATCATCGCGCACAAACACACGCACATAAAGCGGTCTGTAGCGCGTCGGTGCAGGCGTACATACATACATACAGCTTCCCTATTTTCGCCTGTTAAAGTGCCGAGCGGGTACTGGCGCAGCCACTGCAAGCTATATATCTATGCTCACGATAACCGAGTACAGGCATACACACACACGCGCGCGCAGGCGAGTTTCGGCAATATGTATAGTACGTACAGCTTAAATCTTTCTTTCTCTCGCTCGCTCGGCCCGCCGTTCAGCGATGCTGCCGTGTCGACAATCAGTCAGCGTACGGGCGTCGACGGAATCGCTCGTAAGAGCTCTGCAGCACGCTCTCTATTATACATTACGTGCGATGGGTGCTTTTATACCGTGCAAAATTATATATGCGAGCTTTTAGCTGAGTACAAAGACATCGACTAGGACTGTCATCTGCGTAAATCACGTATCTCGAGTGCGAGCGTGTACAGGTGTAGAGCGTGTCAAGTGTCTATGCTATACTTGTCAGATTGAATTGGCTACGATCAGTATTAGCCCGAGCGGAGAGAACTCGAGCTTTTACCGCATCACCACGTGCTAGTGTGCTCTCTCTCTCTCTCTCTCTCTCCTTTTCTCTCTCCCCTCCAGGTACTACCACTCCGACTGCTACTGCCACTATAACCGGTGCTGCTACTGCCACCGCTTCTTTTGCGCATCGACGAGTGCAGTACAGTGCAGAGCGTTAAGCTCTAGTCGTAGGTGCTCGGCCGCCTGCTACGGTGGCTATGGAGAGAGAAAGACGCGTGAGAGCGGCCGCTGGATTTCTCGTGCATTGTGTCAACTCGCTGCGCACGTGCTTGCCGTTCTCGTCAGCAGCCTCGCTAGTGTATACGCAGTGCCAGTTCGCTCAACTAGCATAGCTCGCAACTTCGTACGTCGACTAGTTTGCATCGCGATCGCTTTTATAAACTATATATGATCTATTAAAAGCTCGCTGAACTTTGCCTCTCTCGCGAGTACAAATGTGGTGTATTTTAAGTGATTTTGCGCAAGCTCGCTTTCTTGCTCTCTGCGTAATATCTTTCTCTGTATAGCCGTGGCAACAGCAGCGGCACATGTACGATAAATATGTGCTTGCGAGTGGCAGCGGCGAATGTGCGTGGGCAGCAATAATACGGCATAGCAGCTGCATCAGCGACACATCATCCTAGCTTGAGCGAACTTGTATAGTTGGCGAAACACGGAAACGAGCAGTTAAGCACTGGCAATAATACATATATACGACGACGACGACGGACGAGCCAGAGTAGGCGAGTCACAGTCAGAATCAGCTCGTGCAGCCTGCATGCTATATACGTATATACACACCAACATATATGTACCTATATTTATGACTGAGAAAGTTGAGAGAGGGAGGAAAGCAGAGAAACGACACGCAGAGCGATTCTGGCGCAGACGTAAACGAGACTCGTCCGCAGCACGTCGCATCGCAATCGTACATAACTTTCTCTCTCGCTCGCACTCGTAATTCCGTCTCTACTTGCTCATTCTGCAACGCAAACTGGGCACACAGGAAACTGTTCCAATCATCCAGTCGTCGCGTCGCATACACACACACATACGCACTAATCGCACACAACACCGACAGCAGAGCTTGCAGAAACGATTCGATATTTGTGTCGCATTGAAAAGCTCGGCAGAATTTTTCCGCAAGCTCTCGACGAGACGAGCTTTTTCTTGCTCCTTGTGTGTATCTCTGCCTTTTCCTCGCTGAACATCGACGTATACAGAAACGTGTGCGTGCCGTGCTTCGATCGTGTATACATATATGTGACACCTGTTGGGGGAGTGCGAGCCGAAAGAAAAGGCAGAGAGACGGGCAAGCAGTTAGTGATCACGAGTGAAAATAAAGAGAGCTCGAATTAGTCGGAGCCGAACGACTAGTCAAGGGAGTAATTGTGTGCGAGAGCAGTTAGCCGGCTACACGTTTATGCTCTCTCATTCGCTACGTACGATTAGCGAAAAGTGAATCGCGTGTGTGTGTGACATCCAGCAGTACTATGCTCATAGTTTAAGTATATCTAAGTGTGCATATGCCAGCCGTTGTCTCGCTCGCTCGCTTCACTCGCTCTTCCCTTCCTTCCGGTTAAGCACGCGCCTGCATAGATTGAGTCTAGTCCGTGTGTCAGTTTGCATTATAGTAACGACGACGACGACGATTCTCCGTTGATAATATTAAATCGTCGAGCTCTGCATGTATATGTAATATAAGTGTGCCGTGTGCCGTTGTAATAGTCGTGCACTTGTTCGTGTATGTGCGGGTGTGCGTGCGTGCGTATTGTGCTGCGTGCTTCCACTGCCACTATGCCGTAGCTGACTCGGTAATGGACTCGCGCGCGGCCAATTGTCCACTACGACGCCTGCTAATGAGCCCGACGATGACGGAGGAAATGATGTGCTTCCCGGACTGTGCTTTAGTTTCGACGACGGAGTCGACGACGACGAGGGGAGCAGCTCGCGACGGCTCACTATCGATCTCAACGCGCTCCAAGACGCACGTTTTCGCATTCAAAGCAGATCAAAGAACGACGACGACCAGCGGCATCGGAAGCTCATCAAAGTGATGCGCTTCCCGCTTTAAGTGAATTTATTCACGCGCTCGGCTGGACGTACGCCTATGGCCTGTAAGCTGCTCATCGTCGTTTTACTTCGGTGTAAGTGAGCCGTTTAAAAGGACGATATAACAAAGAGTTGACTCGACCAGTGCTCGATAGGCTCGATGCTGCAGCCATCTGATCGACGTGTAATCGAACGAAAGGTGTGCTCATTGTCTTGTTAATTCTAGTTAAGAGGGTGCCGAAATTTAGATCAATATCAAAATTCACGATCCGGGACTTTTCTATCTAAATAGTCAACTTAATGTTCTTATAATTGTCTTTATATTTATACTTTAATAATTTAAAGAAGACTAGCATACAGTTATAAATGAATCGATTAATGACCTGATTTTATACATTCTTTAACGGTGTATCAATAACAATCAAATAAGTGAACTGCTTGGCAGCGCAGCAGGCTGATTATACCCCTAGATAAGCACTAATTATGGATTAAATTTGTTACAGCCTTACTCTCAACGACAAAGGCAAGAGACAAAATAAAACTAAACTACCTGAGTGAAACTCCTGTTGCTACTGCTTATGTTGTTTTACAATGCTCAAGTCGGTCTGATGCGTGAATCATTGCTCGCAACTGCATCGGGGCTTGCATCCTCAGTCGCGATAATCAAGCAATCACAAGCAGTCAGCGTTTATGGCACAAGTGCTCCAGCATCCAACACAGTCGGCGATCGGCGACGGTAGCTTCCTCAAGATGCCGTCGGACGCTGAGTCCGACGAGGCGGACGTATCCCTGACCAAAGACAATCATCATCATAACCATCGGCATCACAATCATCATCGTCAGCACCATCATCAGCATCAGACGCGGCATCACCAGCTGCATCATCGCCAGGACAAGGGTGGCAGCGGAGAGGTCGGCGCGCGGGCGATGGCGCCGCGTCGAAGCGTTACCTCGTGGCACGAGCACGTGTACGCGCCGCCGCCGCGAACGCCAACGGCCCACCGCATCAGCGACATCCTCGGCTGGAGCAACAACAACAACAACAACAACAACAACACGAACAACAACAACGGCAGGACGCAGGGCAAGCTGCTGGTCCCGACCCCGAGACGATTCAGCACGACGAGTCCCCTGCTCAGGGCGCCTTTGCCCGTCTACTCGCCCCTGCCCGCTCATTCACCGGCTTCTGTGCACACTGTTAGTTTCTCGCTTTCGACTATTAGTCGTTGTCTGCATTATGCATGATGTGCGTTTGATATCTGAGACGTCGCTGCTGCTATATTGTAACACCCACTATACTCGAACACACACACACACATATATATACACCGACAATACAGATACAAAGTCGCGTGGAGAGTCCGTCGTGCTGGTGCAGTATGTGTCGCTTTGTTTCTCTCTTGCCTTATGTACATACGCACCCGTATAGCGTCGTAAGCATGCACGACGATTCGGGGCTTATATATTGATATGCTAATAGGCATCTAGGCTACTCACAACTAAAGGGCGATTGTCGACGTTTCGCTCTCTCTCTCTATTGTTAGCGCCGAGTCGACTTGGACCAACCCTTCCGACGCTGCCGAGAGATCTTAACTTTCCAGATAAATACTCGACTGACTGACTGCGAATTCAACAAATATATATGGCTGATTCTCAGTGAAACCGAATGGCTTGACAATTTTTTTCCGCAATTGCGAAAAAATTATTTGTGATGTCATATAAGTTCCCAAATTTCATTAGAATTTTCGGGAATCTCTCATGATCCCCGTTCACAGGCCCAAAGTAGGCACTTTTCATAAATTTCTAATATTTGTAATTATTCAAAAATTCCTAGCTCATCTCGGAATGACTTCGTAACCAAAGTTCTGCAAGTGATTTTTACTTTTTTAGGAAGAATTATAAAAACTTTCAAAGCTATTTTTTACCTATTTTCTGCTATTATGACCTCTTCGGACTTTTTTCTCTTGGAGTTTTCGTATTCGTAAATAAGATCAAACTATTACAACATTTTAGATAGTAGTAGTTGACATTATCAGAAAGCTTCTGGAGAATTCTCGATTAAATTTTTCATTTTTTTGTTTTCCTTTATATGGTTATAAGATTCGTAACTGCTTAGATCGTTATGGAGCATTTTTTTTAATAATTTTGAAAAGTAAAAAACCACTCTGACTCTTGTTCCTTATAATCATCCGGGATCAAACTGGGGCATTTTTAAATATTCGCAACAAGTATGAATTTCGAAAAAATGATGTCTTCGAGCTTCTGACAAATCGACGGTACCGAGAATTCTAATAAAATTTTGGGATATGCTTTATTGGGATATATTTTGGGATAAGTTTTTCTTGACATCAAATTCTTCTTTTTAAAGGGAATCGGTCATATTTGTACATAGATGATAAAGATGAAATGCTGCGCACATAAAAAGCTTCGCTCTCTTGCTCTGTATTGTTGTCTTTATCTTTCGATTCGTGTCATGGATGTTATTTATAAGCTGCGCTATTTATTAATCAAATTACCCATGGCTCATCGCACCAACAGTGTGATACACCCTGCCCGATGTGCGCCTGCTTGCGCACCACGATTAGCTTTCACAAAGAGAGAAAGAAAGAGAATGTAAGAGCAATAAAATGTACTTATTTGCGTTTACCTCTCTGTGACGAGAAATAGATATCGGTTATGATAGTCTTACTTATGAGTATTGGGATATCTGATATGGAGGTGGGCCTAACACCAGATGATCCGAGTTCTAACATGGGTTATATACCTATTTATCTAAAAACATGGCTGTCGATGATCCGAGTGTCCCATGTGTTTACTATACCTATATATATATCGATCTCAGATCTCAATACTTGTTCGTGACGCCGGGAAAATGATTTCTCGAGAATTAATAATTAATTATGCATTTTTAACTCTGCGTGCACAAAACACGAGTTTTCTAACCATAAAGCGTCAGAAAACACTAGTTTCTTGCAAGCAGGGTTAAAAAATATCATTTGCAACTAGTCCGCGAGGAAGTTTACTCAATCTGGAGTCTTCGCACCCTCGCTACGCTCGGGTGAAAACAACTCCTGAATGAGTCAACTGCTTCGCGCACTTGTTACAAAATATACTATTTTCGCATTAATATGCGCATGCATAAAGTTAATTGTGCTTTCCGATTACGTATCCGGTCAATGAGCATTAAACTCTGCCTTGTGCCTCGATCGATTATTGAAGTTAATATAATGACTGGATTAGCGCTCGACATTGAAATTTTCTTTTTCATTAAGTTAATCCTCAAGAACAAAATGTATTCGCAAAAAACGAGAGCAGACTCTGCGGCATGTACGCGCATGTTGGTCTTCGAAAAATTAAACTTGATTTCCACTTAAATCATAAATAAACATGAATTAAAGTTTTATATGAATATTCCTCAACAACTCCGGTTTCATATAATCAATTTTTAATGTCGTGAAAATAAGTTTTGTACTGGATCAATTGCAGCAAAAGCTTCGATGATGTAAAATTTACCTAGCGAAAATTCATACAGTCCGTACTACTGAAATCAATATTAAAACAGATCATTAATAACTAAACAACTGAATAATCTATTCCAATTCAAGGAAAAAACAACTCTGACTCATACAGCGTAACAATCGTTTTTTTCGCCAAGTAAATTATCGGATTCGCTAGAGTCTAAACTCATTAATTAGTATGCTAAATTGTGGAGAAATATGTCACAAAAAGCGATTAGTAGTCTCGATATATGAACATCAAGATTTGTTTGACATGCGATTTTTCTTTTTCACAGTGAAACTTCTAAAATTAGCTCATCTTGTTGTCTTCTTAAAGCTTGCCTACCTTAAGTAGGTCAAGGGCAAGCGGAGATCTGATAAATTCTCTCAGCACAATTTAAGACTAAAAACATGAGAGCTTTGTTCCGCTTTATCCCGTGCATCGAGTGTTCACTTGATCGCAGCAGGTGTATTAATGCAATTTCCGATCTGTTGTTACAACTTGGAGATTCCAAAAAATAATTTCTATTAACTCAGATCTTAAACCGGTCAATCGATACTTTCTAACGCTAAAATTATAACATTCTTAATTTATTAATCGTTGAAGAAACTGGAACAGTCGAGACGACCATGACTCTAGATATTTGTTTTTAAAGAATCGATACATAAAAATACCCTTTCGCTACCGAATAAAATTTCTTGGTTTGCCAAGTTCATTCGTAAAGAAAAAAGCTCGTTTTAGGATGGTAAATGTTTCAACAAACTTATGTTTATTTAAAAAAACACATAGTCTGGTGGGCTGACCTGCACCTAATTTTCTTGTTATTTACAGTAGTGTACTACGAAAGAAGTGATTTTTCATCGAATATTTCATCGAATTCTATGACAATTCTCACATAGAATTAATATTATAATAATGCACATTATCATGTTCTAACAGTAACTAAAAGTAACGTCAGATTTTTGGCGGCAGTCATCTGTCAAAAATGTAAACAAATTAAGGACCGAATAGAAGCTGGATTCTTGGGTTGTTGAGTGAAGAAGGGGTGTAACACTTTGAGCCAGTAACCTTATCCAGTGGATGAGTTTGTAACTAACGTGATCATTGTTTACTTAACTAAACCTTGCGTTGTGACAGTTGAAAGAACTGCTTTGGCTTGAATTTTTATAGCATAATCTTTATTGCCAATTATAATTCCATCTTCATTATCGCGTTAGATGGACTTGATATGAATATCAATATATAGCTCCGATGCTTTCGCACCGTTTTCTCTCAAACACTTGAATTCTTAACCATGACCCATCACATAGCCCATGAAACTTGAGAACATTTTTCATTGCTGTTCAACTAAGCAATAACTTTAATGCCTGCTAAATTTTTTACTGTTTAGTATATTATAGTCCACCAAATATGATAGTGTTGAAATCCTTTAATCATTAATAATCAAGAGTCATTTGTCTAAAATAGTTATTGAAATTGATTTTTTGTGTTTACCGATAAAATAGGGTAGTTTAACATCGCCACCATGCACACCGAGTCCAGCGTCACCGATGGCATCTCCAGCTTCGGCAATGGGCTATACGAACCCCATCGCGCCGATGGTTAACAGTTACCAGGGTGGCCTCGGTTCCGAGGAGAACTCGGACGACCGACCGCTAAATTTATCCACGAGTACTCGCAGAACACCGAGTCCATCGCCGAGGGCATCCTCGGCATTCTCAGCAGGTGGCTTCGTTGGCAGTGGCAACGGCAGTCCGACTCGTTTGACAACGGCGTCGACGACGACGACGACGACGACCTCGACGACAAAAGCCACGGTGGCAGTGTCGGTGGCGGCGGTGGCTCAACAGTTCCGCGAGCCACCGCCACATCACGAGTCGCTTTCGCCGTACGCGTTCGCTACGCATTATCACATACCGTTTCCTCACAATGGACAAAGTGCAGCGGAGATGCTGTCGGCGACGGCCCGGCAGCTCAACGAAAAGTTCAAAGCTTCCGAGAGAGCCAAAAGTAAGTGGTATTTTTGCATTAAATTTAGCAAATTTTGACGTTAATACGCCTGTGCTGAGTCCCGCTACGCGTACAAAAGCTTTCATACGCTCTAAAGCTCGCAAATTCGTAATCAACGCAATAGTATATGCGAATTAAATCCAAAATTTTGCTCTCGTGAATATATAATTAGACGTGCGTTTGAAAAAAAGAAATGTACATATACAAGAGAAAAGCAAAGAGAGTCACTTGCGCCCAGAAGGGAAAAAAGCATCGACTTATTACTCTTCAAAGTACTCCAAAGACTCGAGCGAGTGTCAATAATATTTTTGCTTTCCGTTGCCTTTGTATACACAAGCCACAGCAGCTAGCGGTATTAGAGCCCGTTTAAATTAATTTCTTGATTTGCAGACTCGTAAAGTGTTTTTTAAGTCAATCGAGCGCGAACATACTTTCAAAGGTAAACCTTTCCGATGCTGCAAACTCGTATACTGTTCCTCGGTGCAGTCTTTTAGCTAAACGTTTGTCGAAAAATGAAAAATTGCTACTTTATAGCACATCTGGAAAAAAAAGTTTCGCGTGCTCAGACTCGACTGAGTGACTAATGTTCTTACAATATGAGACTCGGTGAGTGAGTACGCAACATTTGTCTCGCTCTTTTTCTCTATCACGTCAGTAGAACATCAAACGGAAATTTCATGCAAACAACTAGCTGCACATAAAGCGTTTCTTCTCGCGTATGGTAGGTTCCGTTTCTGGAGGGGAAAAATCCAGTCGATCAATTTTTCGTCAAGCTCGCGATTAGGTATAATATTAGTTGACAAACGCAAGGAAAAAATTGGAAAGATAAAAATCATTTATTTGGTAATCAGTTCTTACGAGGCGTATAAACGATGGCTGAGAGCATAGAAGATTGAAAAAGAAGAGGTAAAGAAAAGAAAAGAAACGAAACGAAAACGACAAACGTTTGTCATCTACGCTCGTTGTCGCTGAAAATAAATCCATCGCCCGACGCTCGTCCGTAACTCGCTCCGAGTACACCCTAACTCGGGCGTAATAACAGGCTAATTCACTCGGCGTTTTTTGCGCCTGCTCTTCTCGCGACTTAAAGTTTTCAACGCGGCTAATATGAGAGTACTCGGAGCTGACTGGCGTACGTGTGCATGTGAGCGTGCGTATAATATAGCCGTGTAGGACAAAAAAGTGTGTGTGGCTGAATTGCTAAAAAAGAGCGACGTTTGCAGTAGCGGCGGCGGCAGCAGCAGCAGTTACGAAGGCGAGAGCAAAGCGAGCGAAGCGATGGAAGTAGGGAACGTAAAACGAGGCTCTCGGAAACGTTGAGTCGAGCGCTTCTTTGCAATCCTACACTTGACTCTTTATAGGAGGCGCGCGAGCACATCGAAAACGCGACGATTTAATTGCGAGAAATTTAAAGCTAATCGCGTCGATAGGCGCGAGGCAAGCATAAACACACGCGCAGACACACCGAGACGTTTAGCTGGCATACGGCTGGGAGTGCGAGAAATCAAGCACACGAGCGCAAAGATATATATACACGTCGTCGGACGGATCGAGTCTCCTGCTGAGCACTCGAGCTACATAGCGAGAGCAGCAAGCTTTAATAGCGTCTCTAGCGTTGTGTGCGCAGAGCAGATAGCTATAAGCTACGCTCCGTTGTATATATATGTAGGTATAAGCGTCTGTCTCCGGGTGTTTCGCGCCGGCGCATCGCCGTGCCCTTTGTCTGTGTGAGGCTCTTTGCTCTCGCGTTTCTCTAGACAACACTCTCACTCGTTAAAGCTCTTTGAAATAGTCGAGATCTGTACGCGCCGCATTCGCGCAGCAGCCAGCGTCTTCCTATATACGTACAAGCTGTAGAGCAGCTCCGCTCGCCGAGGAAAGAGAGGCGAACAAGCTCTGGCAAACGTATACGTAGAAGGAGAGAGAGAGAGATAGACGCTCGCTTGCGCGCGCTTAACGCTTTAGCAATTTGTGCGCGAGTAAGGCGACTGCGGTGGCGGCGGCGTCGTCAGTCGACGAGCTGCGGGGCGTCCCTTACACGTATACGTAATAATGCTCGAGCGAGCCGAACTATTTGCGAAACAGCGAATCGGCGCGCGACGATGTGCGCCGCGATGCGGTAACGAGCCTCCGCGCGGCCCGAGTGCATAGCATAATTTTCGACCGTAGCGCCGAGACACTTTGAACGAGTATATTATATTCATGTAGCAGCATCTATAAGCTTCGCCTCTTTCTCACTCGCACACTCTCTCGAGTAAAGGCTTAATGTTCTGAGAAAATTGATAGCCTCCGCTGGGCGTACGCCATAAGCATGGCCAGTTTATATTATTAGTTCGTTCGGGTCGCGCTCGCTCCATCACGTGCAGCACGTATATACGTAATACGATATAATCGAGCGCTGACCAAATCGTGCCTCATTTTGCAAGCGTAAAAAAGATCGCATCGAGCTTGTAAATATGGCAGCGGAAACAGTCGAGGGCTTGTGCGCAGTTTCGCAGCGAGTTGCCCCATGTAAATTAGACCGCGTTCGTACCTACGCCTATCAATTATGAAGCCTATCAATGGCTTCTGGATCCCCCCCCGCTTGCCGCCGTCTTGCATGTTGTACACGGCCGAATGGAGGTGAGCGAGCGCGGCCTCGGCATCCAAGAGCGCATCTGTGGTGTCGTTAATTCTTAATAGCGCGTGCAGTAGTGGCTTGGCCCGAATATATATGCGTGTATATATATATCGAGCTTGGGTACACTGTGCACTGCAGCACGCGCAGCAAAGCGAAAGCAGCAGCTCTCGTCTACCCCTTCTCCGCTGCTACTCCTCTGAAAGCTCACCGCTTGCCTCGATCCCCACTCCCGACATCCATCCTTTTCTCGGCTGCACGAGCTGGCACATCTATAATAACTTACCACTGCAACGTATCGTCGTTTGATAGCGCGTCCTGCATGTACTTGCTTACAAGCGCCACGGCTGCCAGTTAATTTTCACTACCTATCCCATTAGCGCCCAGCCGGACACTTTTTTCAACTGAACTTTAGGCAAAAATCTTTACTATTCAGAATTTTGCTAAAAATTAACGAGTTTATGTATCTAACGGGAAATTTAATGCCCTTTTCGAATATGGCTTCAAAATTAATCTTAAAATTATTGTTCAAAAGTTATAAACAATTGAACAAAAAAAACACGAATTGAAAAAAAAAAAATTGTCTTCAACTCGAATTTTAAAACAGAAACAGGCTTGATACTTAGGTCCCGAGCACATTAAAGGTGTCCATGGGATGTAAACTGAAAATCCCAATATCCATAACATCGAAATTGGACATTTTTCATAAAAAAATGGCGCTTCGTAGAAAAAAGACCGTATATGAGCTAAACCAATTTTTTTACGTGACAAGGATGCATTTAGGAAAAAAAGTTTTATAGAAAAAGTTCTTAGAATTGTTTAAAGAACAACCCTGAATTTTTTCAGAATTTTTGGTGAAAATTTTTGAATTTTTCGAATAATTTTGGATTTTTTGGATTTCATCATTTTCCGAAAATTCAAAAATTTTCACCAAAAATTCTGAAAAAATTCAGGGTTGTTCTTTGAACAATTCTAAGAACTTTTTCTATAAAACTTTTCTTCCTAAATGCATCCTTGTCACGTAAAAAAATTGGTTTAGCTCATATACGGTCTTTTTTCTACGAAGCGCCATTTTTTTATGAAAAATGTCCAATTTCGATATTATGGATATTGGGATTTTCAGTTTACATCCCATGGACACCTTTAATGTGCTCGGGACCTAAGTATCAAGCCTGTTTCTGTTTTAAAATTCGAGTTGAAGACAATTTTTTTTTTTTCAATTCGTGTTTTTTTTTGTTCAATTGTTTATAACTTTTGAACAATAATTTTAAGATTAATTTTGAAGCCATATTCGAAAAGGGCATTAAATTTCCCGTTAGATACATGAACTCGTTAATTTTTAGCAAAATTCTGAATAGTAAAGATTTTTGCCTAAAGTTCAGTTGAAAAAAGTGTCCGGCTGGGCGCTAATGGGCTATGCGGAATCATTTAACAATCGCTGCGCTATTATAATATGATAAACACGCTTGGATACGGCTCGGGCAGGAGAGGAAAATTTCGATGCGCAACGTTTCGTCGTAAACTGACTATTATTATATATCCGAACTGATTCATGATTTTCATCGAAAGCCGCCACAGCTCCGACGGCGCAAGTCTGTATCGGGTATCGAATATCAGCCTCGATATTGAAATTGGCTGCACAATTATTTTCATACTTGGTATAGCAGGACAAATGATAGGCACTGGCAGCGAAACAATCTAGATCGAATTCTTTAAATTCCACAGCTCATAACCTCGCATTTCTCCGCTTTGATATAATGGCCGCTCTCTCTCTCGCTCCTCTATACCATCTTTTTCCCTCGTCTCTTTTTAACAGCTTCAACAGCGACATCGGTAGCAGTGGCAGAAGCAGAACGAGGAAATGGATGAAAAATTTTCACAAGCTGAGAGAGAATTGAAAGCTCCAACATTCTCTTTCTCTCGGCTATATATACATGTGGAATATAAGGCGTGCACTTGATATCTTCCCTTAGACTCGGCTATGTCCCTCTGGCGTGCAAGGGCGAAGAGTATAGAGTAGCGTAGAGCGAGAGAGAGAGAGAAGCGTGAAGTTTACCGAAGCCACAGGTTCATAAACTAAGCGCGAGCTCGAGCTAGCCGAGCCGAGCTGCGTCGGCAGCCTCGACGGCGGCTTGTATAGGATATAGAGGGTATAAAGTTGAGAGCGCTAATGGTTGAGAGCTTGCGCTGCTTCGGCTGCCATGCAAGCTTCTGCCTCTTAACGTCTTCCCACCCAGCCCCTCGTTTCTCCTTCCTTCGTTTTCAAACGCTATAATATAGAGCAGCAGCAACGCAAGCTATCCGACCCGAGCTATATTGCTCGTTTTGCTTTATACTCTTTCTCCTTATCCCTACACCTTACTTTCCACTCCATAGCCATTTA